CTTGGCAGTCAACACTCCCACACACACGCACACACACGGGTACACAGTGAAATGTGAACATACACACAAACTCACACACAAAAAAATTTTCTATTGCCTTTAGCCGGCACACAGTGATTTAGGCCGACATCCAGCAGCTGCATCCTGGAGGCGCCAGGAGCAACAGTACAGACCAGTCCGTCATACCCGTCTGAGCTGAACTCAAGTCCATTACTGCAACCACTGGTTATTGTGCTGTTTTTATTGTACTTACCCACTGATTTCTGTGAACAGATGACTTTTGCAGAGTGCAGATATGTTTGGTTTAATTTGTGAGTGTGTTAACAGCTTCATCAGTTTCATCATCCCAGGAACCAATACAGGCTGAACTTTTAACTGCAAATAATTATTTTCTTCCTTTTTGGATTTTTAAAATTTGTCTTCAAATCTGGCCCACATCTTTTCAAACTCTATCAGATCCACTTATCTTAATAAAATGAATGTGTTGGCAGTGGAGATGGAACCAGACTCCCTTGTCTGGTCATTTAAAAAAAAAGAAAAAAAATCTTTTAATTTGTCAGTTTCTTTAATTTGAAAACTCAACTCGTTAACACAAAAATGCAGCGATGGTACAGCCTGGTTCAGAGACAAATTCCTCACTACATTTAGAAAATATCTAAGCTACAGTGCTATGCAACAACATGGAGTTATTTTATGCTTTGTGAATTGTCGTATACTGCCATGCTGCTCGCTTCAGTGCCTGAAGAGCACCTACCTAAGGCTGGGACTATATTTCGTGTGATCAAACGGAACAAATTCCATATTTTTCACCAAATTTGAGCTCAATAGCTGCTCTGTTTGCCGGCTGACCAGCTGATCTTGTCAGTATTTTAGCACAATCTTGTTCAAAGCCCCTGATACCAGGCAAAAGCCTGAGAGCACCTCTGGATGAATGTGATTTGGAAGTGTTCCTCTGGTCCAATGCACCAGAAAATGCTGCATGACATAAAGAAATTAAATAACACGTTGCTCCGAGCACTTATGATGACAACAGTACTATGAATAAATACACTGGAAAAAAAGGTCAGAGGTCATGTATATGTAACTAACAGTCTCTGGCACAGTGTGTTGGATTTTCCGTCCTTCACTTTGGTCCAGGCGGAAATGTCTCAACACCTATTGGATGAGTTGCCATGAGATTTTGTACAGACCATGAGGTTGACATTTGTGGCTTTGAGCTAGAGTTGCAACGATAAGCCAATTATATTGATTAGTCAGTTGACAGAAAAATAAGCAGCAAGTACTTTGATAATCCATTGATTGTTTTTCTCTTTTTGCTTTTGTTTAATTTAGATAATATGTCAAAATTCTCTGGTTTCAGCTTCTCACATGTTGAACACTTTCTGGTTTCTTCTGTCTCCTCTGATAGGAAACACAGCATGTTTGGGTTTTGTATGAAGGTATTTTACAATACATCTCATCATGTCACCTCGAGCTTTGGAAAGTTGTGGCCTTTTTTCTCACAGTTACAAAACTAATCGATCGAATTGCATCCCTGCTTTGAGCCAAATATCTCTTGCTATTATTGGATGGATTGCCATGCCACATTCATGCCCCCCTCAGGATCAATTATAGTCACTTTGGTGAAGCCTCAGCTTTTTATCCAGCACCATCATCAGGTCCAAATGTTAATTTGTCCAATACTTTGGATCCTGACCATATACCTGAAAGACTTTAGCTGTACTTCATGTGTTAGCATGCTAACACGCTAAACGAAGAAAACTAAACTTTTAAACCTGCCAAACGTCAGCATGGTAGCATTGTAAGCATGTTAGCATGTGTATGTTAATATTTAGCTCAAAGCACCACTATGCCCACAGCACAGTCTCGCTGAGCTGCTAGCTGCAGACTAAGCAGAGTCTTGTTTTTTAAGGCATCTGCTCCCTGTGTAGTGTAATTGGTGCATCTCGTCTGGGCCACTTGTACTGAATACCAGAAGTATCTATTAAAAGCATTTATCAAATTGTTACACTGCATGCCATCCTGCTGTAAGGTATTCTCTCTGTCTTACCATCACATTTGTGTATGAAGAGAATACAAATAGTCAAGCAGCATGTCGGTACACCAAATCCACTTCTGTCCATTAATTCACTCCTGGAGCCGATCCACTGGGCCCATTAGCATTAATGAACGTCACAGCAGCCACCTACACACACTCACAAGCATTCATCTGCCCGCAGAGTCAGACTCTTAAAATGCTTCACTGAAAAAAATATTAGCATCTGGACAAAGAGCTGTATGGTTTCAAGTAGTGTTTATCTACAGTTCTAAACGTGTGTGTGTGTGTGTGTGTGTGTGTGTGTGTGAAATGTGAAAACATACACATCCTTAATGCCTTCACACTCCCCAAACCCAGTCCAATAAAAAGAAAACATGCCTCTCTTTGTCTCTTTCTCATTAAACAGACCTATTTGGGTTGATTTGGCTTCATTATTTAAGTCCATAATATGTTAATGAGCAGCACTGTGAAGAATTAAAAATGTTCCACAATAACAACGCCGGCCTTGGAAAATGAGTTTTCATCACACCTAGAGAGTTCTGCAAGCCTCAGGGAGCATGGCCCAACCAGAGGTGGTTAAACTCTATTATACCGTTATAGTCACTACAAGATAATAGTCATTAAAAGATTTTACAGCAGTAACCATGTCTCATTCTACCCCAGTTACTAATCTTCCTGTCTGACTGACGTGTTCATGTGGGGCAGCTGTGTTACTGTAGGCTCCAGTGTTGAAGGTTCAAGAATTCAGAGAATGTTTGTAGGTGTGTGTGTGTGTGTGTGTGTGTGTGTGTGTGTGTGTGTGTGTGTGTGTGTGTGTGTGTGTGTGTGTGTGTGTGTGTGTGTGTGTGTGTGTGTGTGTGTGTGTCACAAGTGCTTTCACACCTGTGTTGTAAAGAGTGACATTCTTCTCTTTTTATGAGTCAGTATGTTACAGCAGCAGAAAGTCTTCTGTGAGATCTACTCAGCATGCTTCTCATGTGTGTGTGTCCTACAGTTGCAATAACAAACAAATTATGCAATGAAATGGAGTTAAGCAACCTGCCCCTGAGCAAAACTTTAACACCCAGCTGCTAAATGGTAGAGGACTGTATTTGCACTGGGCTACTAGCGAAGTTTATAAATATGAATTGGTGCATTGCTGCAAAAACCAAGAATGTATGAACATCTGGTCCCAACATCTGGTCATTTAAATCCAGCTAAGGGCTCTGGAAAAGGTAATTGTTGCACTATATTGACTATATACACTTAGTTTGTTAGAGAACCTGGTGAAAAGTAATGCAGTCTCTCAAACAGAAACTGAATATTATGACCTTCATCAAGGTGGAATTTATTATTTTAGCGAGGTATTCTTAGTAAAGTGGCGTTTGGAGAAGATGTCTGATGTCTGCATTGGGGGCAATGATGCTTAACTGACCCTCTCAAACACTGGGCTTTCCCTCCGTTTTTTGTTATTCCCCCTTGAATCTGAACACTGAACAGTCTGGGGGGCTTTTATATAATTACTCATTCAGTTTCTCAAAGCCTGATTGTACATCTGTAAAGCATCAGGGATTTGTTTTCTCTGGATTTTGGATGGAGTTCTTTTATTTTATTTTTTTCAGGACATAAAAGACTTATTCTTTTCTTTTTTTTCATCTTTTTCCACTTTCCGTTTTTTTTTTCTGTTCATCCCCGAAGCACGCAGCCGTGGTGTAGTTCTGCTTTTTTTTTCGCCAGTTTGTCTCGTCTCTTTGTCCCGGTTCTTTTCAGGAAGCAGAATTGCATTTTCATGCTCTTCAGAAGCCGCACTGGTGTTTGCTGAATGCAGTAATAGATATTGATTGCCGTATCATAGACCAATAAGTGGCAGTTTCACGTCTGAGATAGTAGCTTGTGAATGGACTGGATGTTTGTTGTAAATCATCATTCTGCAGTGGAGTAACTGTATCTCGCTGTGAGTGCGTTTGTGTCACAGTTTAAGTGTATGCGTAGCTCACTCGGCCTGCTCCTCCACACACTGGCTGTCCTAACGCCCGGCTGGCAGTGACCGGAGGACTGTGAGGTCTATGTGAGCAGCCTGGAAGCCATCTCCTACAGCAGATGGCCATTATTAGTGACAATGAAGAGTAGCCCACAGGGCCAAATAGAATAACAGGGAGCCCATTTCCTCCTTGGCTGGGCATGAACCACCTATGCTGCTAACAACCTCTCTGTCTCCCCCTCCTCTCTCTTCATCTTCTGCTGGGAATGTATTGTTTTTCCATGGCTGTACCCAAGTTCTTTTTTTTTCTTCTTGTAACCAGTACTCTAAATTGGTTCCTGCAGAGATGTGAGAGGAGAGGCGGAGCACACATGCACAGGCACATGCACAACAAACGTGAATTCTCTTAATTCAACACAGGATCCCTTGAGATCGAGCTTAATGGGCTCTTATTCTTTACAGAAGGCTAATAACAGAACGCTGATGTGTTGGCCTGAGTTCAGTTCACATCAACAGTGGACAACTGCTGCACTCACTGTGCTGTACAATGGCAGTTTGTGTCATCCACAGCTTCGGTCACTACAGCAGTTATCCACTGATTATCAAGTTTCACTTGGGGCTGAAATAAAAGCACATGTTCTCATGAGTACCAGCACAAATTCAATGAGAGCTAAAAGTAAATCATGACTCAAAGTTACCAAAAAACATCTTAACTGCATGTAGAGAAGTTCTTTACATAAGGCAAAGAGATGTGTTAGAAAAGCGTTTTTAAAAACACAATGGAAAGGAAAGTGAAATCAAAATAGAATAAGGGGTAATCTTAGGTTTAATGCCACGCAGCAACATTTATTATCACTAACATTTTGGTATGATTACACAGCTCCAAACAGAAGTGGAACAGGTATATGACAGACATACACAGCAGAGGGAGATAATGACACATGCAGCATTGAAGAAGCGGCAAACTAACGACCACATCTTTACTGTCCCGTGTCCTCACAGGAACAGCAAGAAGGAGTCTGACCTGGAGGCGGCTCTGGCCAGACTGAGGGACCTGGAGGCGCTGCTCAACTCTAAAGATGCTTCCCTCACCACTGCCTTGGGGGAGAAGCGGGCCCTGGAGGCTGAGGTGAAGGACCTCAAGGCCCAGTTGGCCAAGGTAAAAACATTTTTACTGGAAATGAATGAAGAGTGTGTGTCATGACTCAGGTCAGAGAGAAACCTGTTCGAAAACCCCCTTTTTCTTAAACTGTTGGAGCACAGAAAGCCCCTTCACTAATATCAGGATCATTTCAGCTTATAGACAGCGTCGTCCGCTTGGTTTATGAACAAGGGAAAATGTTTCAAATCCTTAGTTGCTACCTGTCACAGAAACACTCCGTAGTTGGAGTGGAAAGCCGCAGTGACTGACATTTGAAGTGATCTCGGTGTGGCCACTTTCTCTGCCTCCACAGTGCAGAAATACCTCAGTGGAAGTAATAATTTGATGTGAACCCTGCAGGCAGTTGATTATGAATGAGGACAATGTGGTGAGGCAGACAAGGTTGCATTCTCTGCTGTTTGTTTTATCAATGAGTTGTACCACAGGACTGATGTAGATGCAGTTGTGGTCTTCCTCCACCTACTGGCTGCATTTAGGAACTACAGTTTTTCTCCTGAAAGAATAGTTCATAGCTCAAACAATGCTGCACAGATTGCCTCTTGAGCTGCGTTACATTTTTTTTGCTCACAATTTATCTCATCTCTCTCTCTTTCCTCCTCCCCCTCCCTCCCAGTTGGACGGCAACTTGGCCGATGCCAAGAAGCAGCTGCAGGATGAGATGCTGAGGAGAGTGGACGCCGAGAACCGCCTGCAGACCCTGAAGGAGGAGCTGGAGTTCCAGAAGAACATCTACAACGAGGTTCCTACTCTTCGCCTTAACCCTTCTATTTGTGTTCAGCTGTCTTAGGTCATCTGTCCTACTTTTCATCTTTTTCCACAGGATATTGATTCGCTTCCAACCACCTACTTGTTTGTTTTGCATTCCCCCTTCAGATCTGTCATGCAGATGTTTTTTTTATTTATTTTCACATAAAAACGAGAAAACACAGTTCAAGTAGCATCACTTACAAATTGTACAAGTATTTAAATGCTGACGTTTCATTTCTTGCCATAATTAATGTTTGGCCAGGTCCCAGTCTAGACCAGGACCAGCAACAGATGTGTTTTTTTTCTTTGTTTTTTTAAACACAATGATGAGGAGAAGCTTAAAGGTCACCAGAGCAGTAGATTTGTCTGCTGGAGCTCTGTACCTCTAAACGAGTAATTACTGCACAGCGACTCACTAATCAATGCAGTTAAGTTCATTGACCATGGCAGGTTTCTACAGGTGGAGTCTTTTAAATTGTTTATAGTGCCTGAAAGAAAATAAACCAAACATCAATACAGATGGCGCTTTTTGTAGTTTGATAAAGTAATAAGAAGCTGAGAAAGTTAAGTCGCCCTCTAATCAACACATTTCCAAATAAGACAAATAGCATCACTAACCTGTGTTTTCTCTCTCTGCTGGTGTTTGCAGGAGCTTCGTGAGTCCAAGCGTCGGTATGAGTCTCGCATGGTGGAGATCGACAGCGGGCGGCAGCAGGAGTTTGAGAGCAAGCTGGCCGAGGCCCTCTCCGAGCTGAGGGCCCAGCACGAGGCTCAGGTCCAAATCTACAAGGAGGAGCTCGAGAAGACCTACCAGTCCAAGGTAGGTCTGCATGCTGCAGGAGGCGCAGCTCTGTCGCCACCTACAGTCCAAGCAGAGACTGTTACCCAGTCGCCTTAGTAGTTCAGCTTGGTGTGTGGTTGCTTTGTTGTTGAATAGTCCGTAATTCAGATAATGCACAACATTGATTTGCACCCTTTTCATACAATCAGTGTTTTCGTTTATCTGTGTATAAAAATACGTTTATAGATTGTTTCTTGCCTTTCATCTACATTCAGGAAGGAAATTAATTTAACAGACGCAACCACTGTCCTGTGGGAATCCTAATGAGCAATGTGGATAAACACCACAGCGGTATTTGTCATTGTACAATGTACAAATGTTCTTCATCTTACTGGACCCCTGGAGGAAAATTATTTTGGGAATTACTGTGTCTGAAATAGTTGAATTAATAGGCGGGATTGTAGGAGGGAACACGACAAAGACTGTATTTTTCTGTCAAACGGCGCAGTTTTCCTCAGGTAGTTTGTTTGAGTAAAGCCCTGCTGATAGCTGACTGTTGCATCTCTCTGTCCGTCAGCTGGAGAACGCCCGTCATTCAGCTGACAGGAACAGCCACTTGGTGGGAGCCGCCCATGAAGAGCTGCAGCAGACCCGTATTCGAATGGAGGGCATGTCAGGCCAGCTCAGCCAGCTGCAGAGACAGGTACACACACACTCACACACACAGTCTGTCAGTGACACTATCTGTCAGCGGTTCGTTATCTGTCTGGTGGTTTTACTGGCCACGCTGCTGTGTGGCTGACTGATATTGACACGAGCGCTCCAAAACAAGCTTCACCTCACTCATCAACCTGTGTTCGCAGTGCAACAGACTGCTTAATTGGCCAGTCTTAATTAACCAGCCTTCCTGTGCGTGTGCTCTCTTCTCATCAGCTGTCATCCAGCGAGGCCAAGGTGCGGGAGCTGGAGGAGGCTCTGGCGCGAGAACGGGACCTGATGAGGCGGCGGCTGGAGGATAAAGAGCGGGAGATGGCTGAAATCCGAGCCCGGATGCAGCAGCAGCTGGACGATTACCAGGAGCTGCTGGACATCAAACTGGCCCTGGACATGGAGATTAATGCTTACAGGAAGCTGCTGGAGGGAGAGGAGGAGAGGTGAGATGGTTGTACAACAGCAGACAGACCATTGTGAAAGCTCGTCATCCTGAGACACCTTGAAGTCGTTACAGGAAGAGAGGGATCATTAACAAATCAGTGAAGAGTCTGTCGTCAGTGTAGGCAACACATGTTCCTTGTTACAGAGAGAGAAAATAAAGTAACTCCTCTATTTACTGACTAAGGCTGAAAGCACCAAAACAACATCATACATTAGACATATACCATGTCTGATGTGGTGTAAACAGACCTGTGTGTGTCTGCTGTTCACCTCGCTCTGTGTCAGTGTCCGTTTGGAAAAAATATCAGACTTTTAGACTAAATTTCCTGGAAAACAAACCAGTCTAAAGTATTTCTTTATATATAAATACATGGCATTCTCCTTCCTTAAAGTTTTATGTGTGCTGGGTAAGTCGGCTGAGAGTACACGCTCTTTTACAGCAGGCCCGTATCAACAGGAGCAGGCAGAGAGAATTAATATCTCCTAAAGCTGACAGTGAAGGAGGAGCAGTCACAGGCGGAGAAAGGTCACTGAGACTGGTACTGAAGTTATTGAGAGGTTTAAGTGTTTGGATGCAGGTTATTCCCTAAGACTGCTGCACTAAGAACAAAGGCAGTTTTTCACAGATCATTCCAGGTTTGGGGCTTTTTGAGCATCAACCAATCGCGGAGCAGGTTGGTCAGGTGTATGTAAGAGTGCCAGAGCAGCAAGGATGAGATGTAAGATGTCAACATTTGTGGGTTTTACAGTGTGAGACTGTATCTGTATGCTACACTGACTCCCTTTGTCTGTATCTATGATCTAAACCTCTTGCTCCATCCCTCCCCAGGCTGCGTCTGTCACCCAGCCCTCCGCCCACCAAGGTCACCGTCACGCGGACCTCGGGCTCGGGCCACGGCCACACCAGCCGCCTGCTCCACTCCTCGACCACCGCTTCCAGCAGCCGCAACTCCTCCGGCACGGCCAGCACCAAGAAGCGCCGCCTCAATGACAACGACAGCGAGACCTCCAGCATGGTGGGCGGCACCGTGACCAAGACTCGCATTAGTCAGCACGCCTCAGCCAGCGGCCGCATCACTGTGGACGAGGTGGACCTGGAGGGCAAGTTCATCCGTCTCAGCAACAAGGCCGACGAGGTAACGGAGGCTATCTATCAGCTGGGTTTGCAGAACCCTTTAACTTGGTTTAAGGTCATTTCACAGCAGTGAAAGGTGGCACTGACATATTGTTAACCTCAGACTGCGCTGTGTCCCACAGACAGCTGCTTTAACACAGACACTTACTGTATGTGCTGTCTCGGTTGTATAAAAATCAGCTACACATTTACAAATGTAGGATCACAAATGACATTCTAGCGTAAGTGTGGTAATCATATTGTCATTTTTGTGTGACCTTTAGAACACGTGTTATCTAAAGAGCTGCAGCTTCAGCCTACACGCTTTTGTGTTCGATTCGTTCTGTCGTGTTTCGGATGATCAATTGATTAGTTTTGTCTAATTTTTGGATAATTATTGTGGACTGCAGTGAATTTAAATTCTCTGCTCCCATGTCTCTGGTGTAGGATCAACCACTGGGCAACTGGCAGGTGAAGAGGCAAGTCGGGACCTCCACCCCCATCGTCTACAAGTTTCCCCCGAAGTTCACCCTGAAGGCCGGAGGAGCCGTGACTGTAAGTTACACAAATTCTTTGTTGCTATTTCCGTTTTCAATGAAGCTGCTGTATGCCTGTTTTTAAATGTACGGTGTGACTTTGTGGACCACTAGTAGTGGAGCTATGTTTTGTGGAACGAGTCCACATTAGCACGTGTGATGTAATACATGCTCCTTCTGCTGATCTAAAAGTAGCAATGTGCCAGCAAAATGCAGGGAAGAGAAGACTGTAAACTAACACACATGTATGTAAACGAAGAAGGTGTCACATTTATCCCAAAAACCTGACTTTTACAAAGGAAATTCAACCTGCCTGTCAGACCATAAGACTTTATGGAAACACTGAAGATAAATTCCATAAATAAAAGTCCACTGGGAACCTTTCAAGTCTCTTTAAAGCCTAGTGATCTCGTGCAAACTCTGTGACCTTTTGACCTTTTCAGGTCTGGGCTGCATCTGGCGGTGGAACCCACAACCCTCCCACTGATCTGTTGTGGAAGACCCAGAACTCCTGGGGCACCGGCGACCTCCTGCAGACCACCCTTATCAGCGCCAACGGAGAGGTCAGACTTCACCTTTCCTCAATGACACATTTCTACATATTTCTTTTACAACTGCAACGACTTAACATGTTGTTACTGGATTCCCCCAACAGGAAATGGCCATGAGGAAAGTGACACGCACCCTCTTCCGTGATGATGAAGATGATGACATGGTAAATTCCTCCTCTCTTTAGGCGGCCATTAAAAACCTCGGTGGGCCTTGCATCAGGAGCATCACAGCTCTCAGCTCACTGCAGCTACTCCCAGTGGAGCGGCAGTGTTAAGTAAACCCACCTTGTTGTGTGTCTCCCCCTGCAGGGAGCTCACAGCACGAGCGGTGCGGAGAACGAGTACAACCTGCGGAGCCGCACAGTGATCTGCGACTCCTGCGGGCAGTCGTCGGACCGCGGCTCAGGTGTTTGCAGCAGCGGGGGTCTACCTGAAGGCCTCGTGGGACATTCCTTCTTCATGGGGACCAACGAGCCCCGACAGGTACCGTACAATTATTGTCACAACATGGACAAAATAATTATGGAGCAAAATATTATTTTATATGATATTACTGATTTAAATAGTTGCACCAATAAACAAATCATGAAATCCAGGAGCACAGACACTGTCTCTGTCCTTGTGGAGAACGTTTTTATTAAGAGCATTCACAGAGAAACATGCGTATGTGTAGGAACACATGACGTGCTGTGCAGTGCAATTTGATGATTCTGAAAACATCAAACGACGACTAAGAATGTGGCAGTTAGATGCAAATAAGTCTCTTTCCATTGATTGCGACACACTTTACTCTCCATATTATGTTGAATTGTGGGCTGACTTGTAGACTAATTTTGGCATCTTTGGCAGTGTGTTGGCTTCACCAGCAATTAATTTAATAGTTTTTAGTACCAATTCACATCTTTATTTTCAGGGAACGTTTCTGGAGATTATCATAATATATGAAAAAAGGAAACTGGAAAAACAGCAATTAAAAAAGCACTAACTCACCTGTATTCATGGAAAAATTTAGCTTAGAGATTTATGAACAGCAATATCCATTTTTCGGTTTAATTTTCTTATTTGTTTTTGTGTGTTAATCTCTGTCTTAGTTTTCTAATTTTAACGCTGCGCTTTGTCACTTTGTCCTTCAGGGTCGTGCCAAGCCCGAGAACTGCTCCATCATGTAAAAACCAAACAGCACCTCACCTGAAGCCACCACCTCCTGCAGCCCACACAGGAGAATCATTTTCTACCATTGGGTCGTTTGTCTTTATTTTTTTATATGATCTTTGTCTTATTTTGTACTCAGATTAATCTGCAGGTTAGATTTGCTTCCAGGTTTTGGCAAAGGGCACACGATTTTCATATTCAGCTTTTGAGTTTGTATGTTTATGTTATCTTATTGCATGTGTGCCGTGCCTGCTCTGCTTGCACACTCACATTTATACACACACACACACACACACACACACACACACACACACACACACACCCACAGAGCTCCATTGACCAGTGCTTGTGTGTCGATCCAAGCTGGGGTTTCACATTTAATGGCCAGGCTGTCAACACTCAACACGCACAGCTAGTGAACCCTGTCAGGAATAAGTCTCTGCAGCCATACAGACGACAGGAAAATAAATCCTGTGGGGTTTGTTAATCATGTTTATCTCTCATCAAATCCAGCAAATCTTTATTTAAAGATGTTTACAGTTTGAATTTATTTGCCTTGTTTTTTTTTTGCTGTCTTTATATGACAGGGAGGTTAGGGCTCTTTGTTGAAAATTGTCCAAAGAAAGCCAAAGTACTGTAAACTCAGGGTGTACAGCAGGGTTTTTTCACCTTAGCCTTAAACAAACACGATGTAGTACATTTTCCATGTGGATTTAGATCATACGGTTGGGCAGCTGTGGTGCACACAGAGAAAATAATTGTTAGAGATGAATATATTTTTTTCTTCAATTCACAGCGTAGCCCCAGAGAAATGTGTCTAGTGATATTTTTTGAAAGTCTGAAAAGGAATTACTTTTTGCTGGAAAAGTTGAATGTACCCGCTTGAGAGTGTCTCGGCTAGATGAACATTGAAATGTGTTGCCTTATTATTTTTTAAGTAATTCCAAAGGTGTTTTGTCATGATGATAGAACATTGTAGAATTTGTTGTCTACTTGGGGAAATATCAGGAGTGGGTACTACATTCTTTACATATAAATTTGGTGCCATATTTACAGTATATATTTGTAAGAATTCTCTGCTTATTCAAACCGATCAACACTGCTCTAATGCAGAGCTGTTGCTTCCTTTTAGAGAGTGCAACAGTAGTTTTTGGAAACATTTTAACAAGCTTTTACTTTTTTTTTTTTACAGATTAAAAATACAATTGTGCCTTCAGAGAACAGAAAAAAGCATCAACAATCACTGTTCTTTGCTCACATGCCTTGTATTGCAGTCTTGTGACTGTCAGCCGTCCTCTGGTTTGTGTGGCTCCTAAAAACTGGTCATAAGGGCTTTTTTTCCTTTTCCTCTAAGCTTACTGACTTTTCAAATCCCCAGGCATGATTTTGGGGATCTGAGTAAGACTGTAGGGTTTGTATACTTTGTGACTTTGGCTTTATGCACTGCTTTTTTTGAGGGCCTTGCCAATTATGCACAGCAGCTAGATTTGTACTGTAGTCTGGCAGCTTAAGTCATTTATCCTCCAGAGAAAAGCATATCAAAGCATTTACGGAAAATACTTGATAGCTGTTTTTTGTTGTTCTGCCATATTAGATTCCTCTTTTTTTCCTTTGCCTTAAGTAGATGTCTGATTTTGACATTATGACCCCCCACAGTGCCTTAAAGGTCCATGACAATCGTTAAGAGAGCTTCAAAGATGTTTAGTATTTGGCCTTCGTGTCACAGATTCACAGTTAACACGCAGTATTTGTCTCATATGTACTGTACGTGTAAATTTATGAGACATGATTACTGTATGTAGTTGTGTAGTATGTGCTCTACTGTTAACTTTGTATGCAATGTTAGTTCACATGAATGAAGACCCAGGACACTTTGAAACTCAGATGTGTTGTATGTTGCTAAAACACTTAGAAGGACCTGAGGATGTCAGCAAAGGGATTTCTTGTTGCAAGTCTTGAATGCCAAAGTTGTATTAAGCTCAAGGTGGGATTCGTGTCAGATCATAATGATGCTACATTATGGACATTACATTCAGATGTATTGAATGTCTTTTTTTTCTCTTGTTTTCTTTTCTAAAATAATGCTGAGTAAAACCTTTTTTCCGGTGTTTGTTAGCTGTGATTATTTCCTTGATTTAGTTCATTGTCATTCAAAACAACTGATCAAAAGTGCAGTCATTTTTATTTACATTATTATACACAACATGTTCCCATGGTTACATTCAAAAATATATGATCATATGTTTAGAAAAAAAAGCTGAAGCTCTACCCAAAACTATAGCATTTAAAGCACAATGTACATTCTCTCTGGTACACAGGGTTTCTGTCATGTAGCTGGCAGGATGACGGACCTTCGGTTCAGTATTGACAGACATCAGTAAACAATTAAACCTTATAACGTTTCTAAAATCATTTCGAGGCAAAACGACACCTTGACTGACAAAAAAGAATAAAGAAATGGTGACAAACTGATTAAAGGGTCAATTCAGGCTTATTACACATTTTTCATTTAGCAGTATCTAGTCATTCAGATAGTTTTGGTTTTATTTCATGTAGGTTTTTACGCAGGTTTCCAGGTGAATGGAATTTCCTTTATGGAGCTCACAGCCTTGAAGCTCTTTTTTTTTTAAAATTGACAGGTTGTTTTTTCTTGATGTTTTTTTTTTTTGGTACAAGATAGTTCCAGTACAAACTGTTCATGGTGAAGTTATCTCAGAGACAGCTGTGTCAAAACCATCAACATGAATAAAGTGATAATGTGGGTGAACAGGTCCTTTAAACAGACAGAGACAAAACTTGCTGCTGTGGAATTCTGTATTAACATTCATAACGCTGCTTTGATTTGGTTTCTTCTTCCCAGTTTGACGATGGTTTGTTTTTCACATCATAAACAGTATGTGTTTACACACTGTCCTTTTGGTGACTTTCTGTAAATGTAATGTATCTTCAGTCCCACAAACCCCCCAAACAACATATTCATCTTAGAATAGGGCTGTTCTTTGACATTACTGTGACGCTGACAATATATTTATTTCTATATTTACAAAGTTTTTCTCTGACAGCAGCAGTAAGTGAGCCACACTGGTATACTTGTGTCTTCAAAGGCCATATTTGGAAAAAACGGTGATAAGGATTTTTCCTTTTTTAAACAAAAGTTGTTCTTGGCTCTTTGGTGGTAAACAAACATGGATATTTTGGTGAAACAAACTTGACTTTTTGGTTTTAGGTTGAAAAAACTGAAACACTGGCAGATAATTTTTTCCAATATTCAGTTTGCTGTAAAACATGGACTCAAATGCATCATTAAAAATGTCCCATGACATTGATGATATATATATATATTTTTTTAACTTTGACAGGGTTTTATAAAGAGTAGATCAAAACAAAGTCCAGCTGAGATGAGCTCATCCAAAGCTGCCTGTTAAAATAAAAATAAAAAAATTCAATGACAACATTTGTCAAAGTTTGTCTTCTGATCAAAGGGCCTTTACATGTGCACAACATCTGATCAGTAGCAAGCAAAATAAGTGGAAAACTTCAATTACAGCATGTTTAGATGAGTTCAAACACATAAACATTCCCTTAGTTGCTGCTTTTAACCGTGAAGTCTTTTGGTGTATTTTCTTTCCCATGGGATTTGAATGCAGCTGAAGCCCCGCTGGCGTCGCCACAGTCCAGCCTTCCTCACCGCAGCCTGCTGGCTCCACAATCTGGATGACAAGTCTGTCACGGTGAAGCAAGTACCACGTTAGCCCACAGAGGGGCAGTGTTGAGTTGGAAACGGAGGGGGCCATCCACAGTAAACAATAGTTCCTCAGCGGGACAGGGGCCTCGCTGCTGCCGCTCTGTGGGTGGTCTACAGCTCTGATTGTCGGAGAAGAGCATCAAGTTTGCTCTTTCTTTGCGAGCACAGGCCAGAAATCATCCCCAAAGTGAGGAGGAGGAGGAGGAGGAGGAGGAGGAAGAGGAGGGAAACTTGATCACTGAGGTGATCTCCTGGGGGAGGGGGAAGGGGAGGGGGGCCGGCGGACTGGTGGCAGGTCGTAGTGTCCCGGGATGTGGCTGTTCACAGGGAGGTCATAGTGGCTCTGTGGGTCCTCGTGTGGAGCGTGACCGAGGGAGCTCTGACGCTCTGCGGGGGGTGAAAAGACAGCAGCACTAAGCTTTACATTGTTCTACAGACACACACACTTATATACATATATACATATCCCACATATTCCTCAACTACATTTACCAAATAAAGTCCCATCATCACCGTTTTGATGTTTTGTTTTGGTCTGGGAAATATGTGGACTTGAACATTTCCTGAGGTTTAAATGATATATTATAGAAAGACTTTATTATCTGATTCTATAATCTAGTTTACTATTTACATTTATTGTAGAATTAATTGAGAGTGTTGATGTTGAAGAAAAAATAAACGTGTACGGAGTGTGTTTTAACATTTTAAAGCCAGTATCCTACACAAACCATTTCTAGAGGCGTGTGAAACGTCAGCTCCACGGACATTATATAATACATAGATAAATGATCGATAATGCAACGTTTGCTGACACACAGTGGTTGAGAAGTGTGGTAGCAGTCATAAGAGCATAATGATCATATTGTTGACACGAGCTGTTTTACTCTGCCTCAGAATGACTGCTTACCTTGACCCGACCATTCTCACTCCTCATGCCAAACCCCGAACCAACCCAACCAGCGGGGGCAAAGATCATTAGCCAATCAGAGCCAATCAACTGTATAGGAGCGTTTTTAAGTTTACATCCGGCTGCTGTAACATTGATAGCCACTGGAAGGATAAAATCACAATGGAGGAAAAGCGTACTGCAGATTCTTTTAGGGGAACCGCCAGCTAAAGAGAGCACAGGTGAAGTCCAGCCTTCCCAGCAGAGCAGCTCCACCAGCATCGTTTTCGTTTGGCACCCGCCGGACTACCAGCGTTAGCACCGCCCACCACTAAGGACCCCTGCGGCTAACAGGTGTCAGCCTGGGCTTGACTTGGCAGGTAAAGGGAAGCTCTTCAACCACTAAACTTTAATCTTCCGGCCAGACGTTTTGGGAAAGAAACTTTCAGCCGTGCATTTACACCAGCTTCGCTAAATGGATGAGGCTGCATCACGTGGTGTGGAGTGAGGTCAGGTTGTGTGTTTTGCTCACGTGAAGAGGCAGCAGAGGGAAACCGGTTGATTTGGCGGTTCCCCTTCACCTTGTGGAGGAGCCGGGCCCAGGCCGGCCTGATGGCCACATTTGGATTATTATAACTACTGGAGCACGTTGTCTGCAGCTCCAGGTAAGATATTCAGCTGTAGATTACCTTTAACATCACACTGATATAACTTTGTTGGAAAAATGTGCGTATTTGGATATGTTATCGTGTGCATGGGCAATGGGCTTTTGGACTTGTGTTTGGCATTATTGTGAGCTATTTGTTACTCCTGCTGCTTCTTTGGTGTGTGTGTAGTAGTAGTAGTATTGTTGTAGGCCTATGTTGTATTTGTATGGGTTGTATTGTATTAAGGGTTGGGGTAAAATGCTCCTCCCACTACTGCACCCCCAACCTAAAACATCTTCCCGTGGCCCTGGTAGCAGTTCTTTCCAAAGTACAGACGAAGCAGGAATTACTCAACATCAGGTTATACTGTATTTGTCTTGACTGAAATGAAGGGGTTCTGCTCCTTTTCTGCCAATCTCAATCTTACAGTTTAAAACAGAAAAGACAATATAAAGGATCCAGGCTCACTGAGCTCTATATATGATCCCAAGAATCACATTTTTCAACTTAACATCACAGGTTTTTAAACTCATCAATACTCCAACAGTTTGTCTAGTGGAGCTCACTTTACAAGCTCAAACAGGCGAGGAGGCCAATCTAAGTATTACTGTTTCAGTAATCGCTGTAGCATTTATTTAATGATACAGGCTTGTATGTTTTTATTAATCACAGTCCTTTGCGTCCAACAGAGCCAGTGGATTAACAGTTATTTCTCCCTTCTCCTCACTCAGGAGGAGACTGTATCTCCACCAAACCAATACCTCCATCAATCGAAGCATTTGATTCTCTTAACCTATGAGAACACCGGTTTCACTTCATCATTAATTAGCCTGACTGCATGGTGATGTATCACCAGGGCTACGTTACAGTGAAATACAGAGGTAGTAGTAGAACATCCTCAGCCGCCCTGAGCTTCCTCTCTCTTGCTCTTCCTCTTCCTCTACACTTCCATGTAAACAGTCGTTCATTCATGAGGCTGTGCCTTGAGGAAGCTCATCCTCCCCATCTGTCAGACAGGCCACGAGCACAAATCCTGTTCACGTCTGTAAGTCTGTCATGTCTGAAATCTTCCTTGTAAGTCTCATCTGTCTCTAATGAGTGTGTGCATCGTCTACCTTTGATTGACAGTGGAAGGATGGTACATTTCTGCACATTCTTCAGAACAGTTACACAGGTTGGACATTACAGAATATTTCATGAGGTCACCTTGGGCTTTAGAAAGCTGTGATGGGCCCTTTAATATTTTCTGACATTTTACTGCTACTGACGGCAAAGATATGTTTACTTTAGTCTTCTTTCTCTTCTTCATGATGCTTGAACATCCATCTTTTTCAAGCGCTCATACCTTGTTGAACTGTGTTGTCAGTCCACGTGACTCTATCTACCTGATCACCCAGAGTATTTGTTTTTTGGTTGTGACACAGTAGTGAGGTGTAAACTGGTTCTTCACCTCTGTGTAAGGTGCCCGTGTTGAACGGCGGCGGGCTGATTTCAGTGTATGCTCGCTCCCTGGGCACGGCCGACTTCATCTCCATGTAGCTGCTCTCCGGGGGGCAGAAGGGCAATCCTGGCAGGTCTTTGATGGTGGCGTAAGGGTTCTCACTGTTCAGAGAGCTGCTGCTCGCCGCCACCGTGTCCTTCAGCTCTGTCACCACACAGGACGCAAAGAGACAGAAGTTTAAATATCTCAAAGTATTGGACTGACTGACTAACTGACAATGACCAGCACTGCCACACTGGCATGGCTAACAAGTGACAGAAGTTATAGTCTGTAAAATTTACTTTGCAGTGTATTACAAAAGAAATCTATCTTAAAAAGCTAAATATCTTACTTTTTGAGCTTTTATGTGGCTAATAATCCTGTAATCGTGTAGTTTTATGTAGCATCACCTTGCTGATATAGTTCTAGTGTTCCCATTTCTCAACAGTAAGTAATAGGAACCTACCTTTGCTGTAATATTTTCCGAGGCTGGCGCTGTAGCTGTAGCTCCGATCGATTCCAAAAGCTCCTGTAAACAATAAAAGACAAATCTGGCATCTTCTTTTTCTTTTATGGCAAACTAATCAGAAGCAGATAAGCTGCTTTGGAAACCTGCAAAATCAATACCAGGTGAGTTAACGCTGGCAATGCAACTATCGCTTTTTATGAAGCCCCTTATTATTTTTATAGTCTCGTATCAGATGTGCATTGTTGACTGAAGTGATTTTCTGTCCAAAGCAAATGTAATGGTCGATAAAGTGTCCTGTAGACTGTATAAAAAAATGACTTTCTAAGTTTTCTTCCTGGATGACCCGACTTGAAAGTCTCTACATTTATCTGCCTTTTGTGGTGAGAATATTTTGTTATATCTAAAGGCCATTATCAACACAGGTATTTTTATACTTTAGCTGCTGATAGCTGATATTTTCTGCTGGTATTCACTGTCTTAAAGAATGATTATTTTATTGTTAAACACATTAGACAACTTCAGCGTTTAAGGAAATCCATTTAGGTGTGTTAGCGGACGGTCACATTAGCAGTAAGATTGCAGGTTTTACTGATTATTTTTATGTAGCTGTGGTCAGAAGGTCAGGAAACCAGCTTCTTACTTTTATTGGCTTGTAAATGTTAATCCACTCATTTCATTTTACTCTAACAGCTGCAGGTCTCTCTGCATCAGTGTCTTCACTTAAAATGTTAAGTAACTGAATCACACAGCGGAGAGCCGCTCACACGGACCTGTGTCTTTGCGAGGCTCGTGGTGTTTCCAGTCTGCAGGCAGAGTGGCGTTGCTCTCGACCCCAAACAGACCCCGCCTCTCCCGCTCCATGTTTTTCACGCTGCAGAACAGCTGGTTATTGGTATTCTGTATGACAGAGAGAATGATAAACCAATCAGAAATCAACAATGTGAAGAAAAGAGCTGTTTGCTGCGCTCACTATGGTGTCTATGACTCCATAGCCCTGAATACATGACCAGTTGTTCAGTATCAGAGCTGACACTCACCTTGATAGTGCGGTCGTGGTTGTTGGGGAGGTGTGGCAGTGGAGGCCTGTTCTGGCTCAGTGTGTGGTAGCTGGGGTTGGAGTAGTAGTGGTGGTAACTGTGAGGAACATCTGCAGGCCAAAACAAACACATGGAATCACGTCTGCTGCTATTAAGTTACCGCAAGGTCAATAAAATGCATCTCTGTGGATCACTGATTAAAAAAAAAACACAACCATGAGACAGAACCAAAAACGATTACGCACAAGAACAACTATAAAAAAAACATCAAAATATAACGACTAAGTCATTTGAAAATGTTACCCAGTGTGCACTGCTCAGCATCTGAAATGATTTCACTCCACCACATTTCAGTGGGCATTTTAAGATATGACTTGCATCGGGTTTAAAATCAATAAACCATTAAGCAGCAACACGCCTTCCTGCAAAAGTCGAGACTGACATTTACAGGAAATGTGATCTCAAGTTTGAGAAACACACACGCAATAGCACAGAGGCTGTCGTCTCTCACACGGTCTCACCTGTTATAACATCTAATTTGTCAGTAATAAATAAAATAGTGTGAATTAATGTCACTTGTTAAATGCCAGATGTTTCGCCTTTAGTCTCTTGAGCTGGATTCATCATTACACACACAGCACATGATCTCTAGATTTTAAAAGATATCAGATGTGTCAAAGGGATGGATAGAAAGACATTTCATTGTTGTTTTCATTATAAACACAATAGTTTCAATGAGGCATTAGATGTCAGACGCAGAATATACATCTCCTGTTATAACACCTTAAAATCTATATTCGTGTTTGATTGATCTCAAACACCATGTCTACTGTACCTGGAACAGCGTATTCTGAGTTGACTGTGCGGCTGGTGGAAAAGGAGACAGTCGGCGTGTTGTTCTGCTTGTCCTTCTGCCTGCGGCGGTAGAGCAGCAGCAGAGCCAGCAGCAAGACCACCAGAATGACGAGCACGACAATGCCGCCGATGGCCCCCCACGACTCCCTCTCACCGGGAGGGAGAGGGACCATGACGCTCCCTGACTGCTCAGGCGATTCTGTCAAACAGGTCAGTTTGCTTTCATTAAAGGTCCCATATTTTACACCTTTACAGTGTTTTGTTTGAAGTGCTGATCCATAAGAAGATATATTTGTGGTTTTAAGAGCCATCTCGGTGTAGTTTTACATCTCCTCTCTCAGGCTTCTCTCTGGAGCTCTAGTAGCAACAGACCGGTGAGCCAATCAGAAGAGAGGAGGCTCTGAGCCTGATCAAACACTCAGAGAAACCAAATCCTGCAAGGTTGGTCCAAGTGGGCGTGGCTCGGGGCATAGCTAAAGGTGGTGACTGCTTTGTTGTGACATCACAAACTTAAAGAAGTCCTGATGGCTTATTTTTAGGCATTAAAATTTCTCTGTGGACTGAGCGCTTTGATACTTTAACAGTATTAATATAGAACCAAGACACAGAAGTCTCACTTTATACAATATGGGACCTTTAACTTTCCACCTCTGACATAGTACAGACACAGCCATGCTGCCCACAGAGTTTACAAAAGGAGTATCAAGGCAATTTTTTAGGAAAAAGACTGACTTCAATCACAAAAAGTTAATATATGTGAAGGAAAAGAGGCAGATTATCATGTATGTATTTGCTCCTATATTCATGAGAAAACCAGTTTGTTTGTTTATACCTTGTTTGCAGTCATCTCCACTTTCACAAACACAGTCTCCAGTAAACCGGTCACAGTTGAGGTTGGTCGGACAGGAGCAGGTCTGAGTACAGAATGAGCCAAAACGTCCTGGACTACAGGCTGAAAAACACACGGTACTCACAGTATAACACCCACGCATCACACATGTGCGATAAGTATTTAACTGTGATGCAATGATGATGTGTGTGCACATATTTCACCAACTTCGTGGCAACTAGTGGAATTAGTTGCAGTGCTAAATACAATAATATTCTGCTCTTATTTTATCTGTCTGAAAGAATTTTGGTTTGAAATTTGGAGAGATATTACACTGAAGAGCTAACTAATAACAATAACAGGATTCTTTCCACTCAGGTGTTCTGACATTTTGCAGAGCGAATGATTAATTCATCTAAAAATAATTTGAAGATTAATCAATGAAAATAATGGTTAACTGCAGCCCTAAGAGACCTGAAAAATAATAACACCCAAGCGAGCGTACAAGGCAAATGTAGTTTTCCCACCCATGAGACCACTAAGTAAATTATACCAAAGCATTCAGAGATCAGCCGAACTCTCCTCACTGCAGTTACATTTCATATGTGACATGCTTTCCTAGTCGCTACATTAAGTCCTGTGGCACTCACGTATGGAGCAGTCAGTCGCAGTCCAGCCAGGCAGACATTCACAGTGCCCGTCCCGGTGGTCACATGTGGAGTTGTTGGCACATTTAACACACACTTCAGAACACTGTTTGCCATAGTAACCCGCTGGGCAGACTGTGAAACACACAGTGCAGCTTATTAAATCACCTGCACTTGTTTATATGGAGACTGAATGAAGATTTTCTGTGACGTCTACTTTAAATCTTGGAGAATATGCACACAGGTGCGCTGCATAATTATTGATGCAAACGCCAACCTTGATCACAGTTGTGTCCAGTGTATCCAGGCAGGCAGTCACACTCTCCTGTCACATGATGGCAGCGGTACGACTGTCCACAGGACGGGCAGGACATACTGCACTGCTCACCATACATACCAGCTCTGCATTCTGGGAGATAAACGAGTGAAGGCAGGCCAGATGTTACACAGTAAATCCAGTTCAGCTCAGGGTCTGATCTGATCAGTTTCTGTCAGCTGGCTGATAACATAACACTCACTGTTCTGGCAGGTGACTCCCCAGTAGCCTGGACGACACACACACGCTCCGTTTTCCCTCAAGCATGTGTCACTGTTGGGACAATGCTTGAAACAGGTCTGGTTACAGTGGCGCCCCCACAAGCCCTCTGAACATGGCTCACTGCAGCGGGAACCTGGAGGACAAAAGTGGATAATGATGAAGGAAGCAGTGAAGCCCAGCTGTTAGTGTGATGTAACTGTAGTGGTAGGGCAGGAAAAAGTACTCGTATAATTCACCTAAATAAAAATGACAATACTACAATATACTCCATTTTCACATCCAAGTAAAACTGCATTCATGAGTTTACTTCAATGAAAAGAATAAACAGTAAAATGACACTGTTCTGAAATCAGAGACGTCTCAGATGGTGATCTGAGGAAGATTTAGGCTAAGCTAAGTGGCTAACATGTACCCTCACACAGGTGTTTTTAATTATTCTGGCTGATAAGACCTCCCAGGTCACCAAGCTCAACGTACCAATAACAAAAATGATGAAGATGTAAGTTGCCCAACCTACAGGTGCAACCGGAGAGTGAGGGAGCTGTCAATCAGTCTGGACACGCCCACTTAGTCCTAATCAGGTACAGTGTTGTAAGTAAAGATCTGAATACTACAGAGAATGCTAATAAACATAAAAAGCATAAGAATAAACCTTTACTGTGATGGATCATCTATCCTGTATAACTTTTAAAATGAAAACTAATGGCTGCCTGGTGGAAAATCAAACCTAAAAACCTGAAAATATGTGGTTTGGTTAAAAAAAAAAAAAAAGGTTGACATTAATGTAAAGAACAGAGAACAGTGTGATCAGACTCAAACCTGTGGCTCACTCATTTTCTATTGGACCAGACTTATCTGTGATACCAAAGCCAAGCTGGCAGCGACACCAGGAGGACGTCATCACTTACCCCACCATCCTGGCAGACAGTGGCACTCCCCGGTGGTTGCCTGGCAGCCGTCGGCATGAACACAATCACACCTCTTCAGGCAGGCTGGCCCAAATGAGCCCATCTGCACATGTGAACAAATGCCAACGGGCACAGAATTGTCAGGGGAATCTCTTCAGCGTTCGGCCAGCTCAGTCAGAGTCAGACAAAATACTACACTGGCAGTGTGTTGTTATATAGACAACCTGGTGGGCTGGCATGACAAAGGCGAGGGGGGTATGCATCCAAAACTCTAGATTAAAGCATACAGGGTGAGGGTGAGGTAAGGGATGAAAAGCTGGACCGCATTTCTGCAAACTGTCCAACCAGAACAAACATGTTATGTATAATTATCACCCTTCATGATTTGTGTATGCATCTTATCAGAGATAGCGTTTCATTTGTCTACTCAACTTGACATAGAATAAATATATAGTGCACTTTTCTTATCTTTTAGAGTTTGTATTGTTTCACAAAGTGCCGTGTGTTTTCATGCAGTGTTGTGGTTTGAATCCAGGACATTTTTCTGTTGCTTTAACAGGCAAACAGAGAATAAGCCAGGGGGAATTAACACAATGAAACCGATCTTTTCATTATATTGTGCCCTAATTTGTACTTCGCAGCTTCCTGTATTTCAGATTTATTTTATATTTTATTTCACTACAGATTTATATAGTATATTTGTATATTGAGAATTTTGGGTGCAAGAAATTTAAATTGTACTTGAATACAGTTGTAATTTATCTTTCTAACCTACCATTTTATTTACAGTTTACACACTTGACTGACAAAAGTCTTTATGACTCAAATTCATATTATAGTCATGTCATAAAACGAAATGGGTTTATTGTCTGTATTGATGCCCTAGCTTTTAATTTTACAAACTGGGTGGTATAATCTTCTTCCTGTGCAGAGAGAAAGAAGGTTTATGGAAATATATATATCTATGTATATTTGTTTTAGTATTCAAGGTTCAAAGTTTTCTTTTACTGACTCCCATTAGAGAAAACCATCTTGGATTACAGGGACTGTGGCACAAAAAACAGGCATGCCACAACAATTCACACTTTTTATGTCTACTCTGAGGTTATCTGAAGGATCTTTCAGTATGAGTTTGCCCACCTCTTTTCTACTTCCTAATACAAATAAATGAAGGTTAAAAGAAAGAAGAAGCTCATATCCAGGTACTTACGGGGCATGGTTGGTCACAGCGCGCCCCCTGCCAGCCGGCTGTGCAGGTGCAGGATCCATCTGCAGGGTTACATTTTGCCCCGTTGGCGCAGTGGCAGGTGGCGTTGCATCCTGGGCCCCAGGTTCCCTCAGAGCAGGGGGTGGAACAGTCCGGCCCTCGCCAGCCTGCAGACACACAAAGGACCGTCAGCCATGCTGGACTGGGTACATGGTGGACCTACAGTTCTTTCACCAGTTTTGCTCCAGTTATACATTCACCAGTCAAATATTCAACACTCCCTCTTTGTCTCTGTTTTCTCTGTCTCAGTGTCTTACCCTCTTTGCAGAAGCACGTCCCGTCAGCTGGTGAGCAGTCGATGAAGTTTTTACAGGAGCACTCCAGGGAGCAGTTTTTGCCGTAGGTCCCACTTTTACATGGACTCTCACAGTGAACCCCCTGCAATAATACATAATAATATTACCTTCAATAAGGCAGATAAGTGTGAGATTTTGATGTATCACGTACAGTAAAAATAGCCATTAATTTTGAGAGTGTGTACACACCAACAGAAAATGAATAAATATAAATGATTCTTAAAACTGATTTATTAGCTCACCCAGTAATTTCTAGCTAAATTATGCCAAACTGCCCCACTCACCGTGAACCCCGGGGCACACTGACATCGGCCTGTGGCGCTATCACACACCCCTCCATTTACACACAGACACGGCTCCAGGCAACCGTGACCGTAGAAACCATGAGCACACGTCTCATTACAGTACAATCCTGCCCAGCCCGGCTGGCATGTGCACTCTCCTTTCATTGGATGGCAGCTGGACAATAGAAACAGAAGTAGATGTGATGAAATGCCAACAAAAAACACAATGGAGCAGTGAGAAACTAATGACTCTGCCGAACTATCGCACACCAAGACAAAGACAGTGTGTGCCATTGTATGTGTGCCGTGGGTGTTCCCTCATTGTTTTTATTGGGGTAAGTGTATTGATATCTACTGTATTTTGTTTTATTGATGTAGTCATTTTTAATTGGCAGATTGTTCTGAAATCAAAAATAAATGAATTGGTTAAAGAGACTGAATGAATTTGAGCAGAATTCAAGCTAAGATAATTGGCTAACATGTACACTCACAGGTGTTTTCAATGATCCTGGCTGATTAGACCTCCCAGACTGAAGTTAGATCACCAAGCTCAACTACCAATAACAAGATTGATGCAGGTGCAACAGGAGAGTGAGGGAGATGTCAATCAAGCAGAGTCTGGACACGCCCACTCAGTCTCAATCAGGTGAGGTGAAAACACCTGTATGGATGTGCCATGTTAGCCACTCAGACTCAGTAAGGCAAGGCCTGGTCAAAACAGGTAAGAGCTAGCTTGGATAGCATAGCATAGCTAACAATAAGAGAACCTGTACTTGGTTCAAATCACCAATTGATTTTCTTGTTAGCTGGCTCTTCTTCAGTATCATAAAGGAATAAAAATGATTTTTTAATTTATTTTAGTTCATTGTTTTCCAGTTAACAGATTGCTAACATTAGCTGCGTCTGAAGGCCAACTAACCCCTTGTTGGCAGAGGTTGCAGGAGCTCACCAGGCCCTCCAGCAGGAGGTGTTGACTTGGACCAGCCTTACAAAGGTGAGATCTGTGCTTTATTTGAAGTATTTTCAAACGGTATGCTTCACTGCTTCATGTTTACAAGAAGAGAAGCCTCACCTTCTGTAGAAAGCAGCACAAATCTGAAGCCCTGAAGGTCTAAATGTGGCCATGTACCAGTAGCTAGCTAACTGTTTCTACCTCCAGTGTAGCACTGCCTCAGAGAAATGTTTTTGTAGCTTCAGCCCGTTCTTCTCCTGGCAGCAGCCACTCACCTGAGTGTGTGTTTGGTCTGACACAGACATGTACGTTCACAGTGCATGCCGTATTTGCCAGTTGCACACATCCTGTCTCTGCAGTGTGGACCACTGAAGCCCGGCTCACACAGACAGCCCCCATCAATGTTGTAGCAGCGAGCGCCATTTGCACAGTCACACACACCTTTACAGTCCTGGCCATAAGTGCCTGCAGCACACTCCTCGTTACACCTGAGGGCACAACACAAAGCGTTATGTAGATACACGTGGAGGCTCGACAAATGGGAAATAATGCACACTGTCTGTTCTTTATTCGCTCATGAGCCATAAACTTAAAACTAAACTTCTGTTTTGTGTTGCGGTTAGCCAGTATGATGTTAGCCAGTAGTCTGTCCTCTTCTGTCTCTGGTGTTTGTTTAATATTTAATTGAATTTGACATAAAAAACAGAAATACGGTTTAAATTAACAACTGCTCTGTGACCAGAAATGTAATATAATGTGACATCAGTACACTGCAAACACAAATGATTTATATCAAAGGACATCAATGCTGAAACATCTAACCAGGCTTTGTCTGACTAAGGATTCAATTACACTCATTGCCTGGGGGACAGTTTTTTGTTTTGATTCTTCACTTGCAGTGAAGGGAGAAGCTGTCATTGACTATACCAGACACCAGAAATGGCATGAATGGCCTCATGCACAAGACAGTGAAGAAAAGGCAAATGCAGACACATACTCTGTGTTTTCGAAGGGGCACTTGCACATACACACCTGTTACCGGTGAAACCTTTAGCACACTGGCACTGTCCAGTTTCAGGGTCACATTTTCCCCTGTTGTGACAAACACACTCCTCAGCACAGTTTGGTCCAAACCTTCCCTCTGGACATCGCTCCGTACAAACTGCACCCTGCAGAGAAACAAGGAAAAACACACTCAAGAGGCAGAAAGAGACTGATGCACTCAAATTAGTGTGAGTGCATCGGTGCATAAAACTGGAACAAAACACCAGCAGTTTATGCAATTACTCAGAAAATAATCTGTTAGTTTGCTCTCTGATGGGATCACAATCACGTCTCCTCTTCTAAAAGCAAAGAAACCTCATGATGAATTTTCACATTGGTGGAAAACCAAGAATCTGCAGGTCTCCAGAGACGACAGGTTGTCTTCTAAATGTCTTTCGGAATAAGTCAGAGATGAGAAAGACTTTGTCCAAAGTCTGGAGCCAGCTGGAACATAACACATGAGCTAATTCGAAATCTGGAAACCTCCACGGATAACATGAAGGTTAGAGTCAGTGCAAGCTTAAAGCTGAAAACGTACCGTCCACCCAGGGGGGCAAGCGCAGATCCCTTTGCCCCTACAGATGCCACCATTCTGACAGGGGCATCGTGCCTGGCATTTCCTGGGACACGCCTTCTCACAGCTGCGGAGAAGGATGAAGACGATGCTTAATAGCGGATTAATGGACCACTTTAGGCAAAAACACTCCATGTGTCTTGGGACATTCCTCAGGAATTAAGTAATTGTTTTGTTCTACAGTAAAAAAGCACAAAATGACTATTTACAGAGTTTTTATAAGACTGGTTATTGAAGCATCAGCTCAAACTGTGGTGGAAAGTAACTAAGTGCAAGTACAATTCTGAGGTACTTGTACTTTACCTGAGTATTTAAATTTTCTGCTGTTTTATGCTTCTACTCCGCTAGTTCAATATTTCATTAGTTCACTACTTCAGTCACTTGTTCCTTTGCAGATTCAGATTAATAATACAAAATATAATCAATAAATAAATTCTGAAGTGTTACAGTAGATAAGACTTCATGGAGTCCAGGTGAAAATTCACAAGCTGTCCAGCGTATATAGAGTAGTTACAATTAGTCCCACCATTATCAGCTGCAACATTAAAGTGATGCAAACACTAATGCATAAATAATTACAATTCAGTAATGTAATATACCATTTTCGCATAATTCACAATTTTTTTTTTGGTACTTAAAGTACATTTTTGTCACAAATAATGTTATTGCAGAATTTTAAACTTTTACTTTGTTATTTTTTACACTGTAATATTTCTGCTTTACCACTGAGCACAAATTATGAGACATTAATGTCACCACTTTCACAGTTTAAAACTGTTGAAATCATGTGACTCTAGAGCAGTTACATCCACATGCAGTGACCTTACAGACAACATTTAACTGTTCATACTGCCGTAATATATTCTCTTCAAACTAATCTGAGGAAAAATAGTAAGAATAAAAAAAGAAAGACTAACAGTAGCTCCCTCATTACTTTAAGACTTGGCAGGACAAAAGCTTTGTGGGAATCATCAGCACAGTTGGAACATGTCTTTGACCAATCAGATTACTTGGCTTAAACTTCCTGTAGCACAAAATGCTCGGATATTATATTTTTCTAATACACCCTGGAGGTGAAATAACATGGACAGACTTCAGATGTACACAATTCATCAAGGAGCTTTATCCCATGATCAGTGTTGCCAAGCCCCCTTTTTTATTTAGCTCGAAGTGGTGTGTTGTGCTTTGACATTGGCAGTATAATAGTTTCCACTAATATCTAGTGGGGATGAATGTTGAGTGCTTACTCATCCTCAGGGGCATCTAAAAAACGGGGTGTAACAGATGACTCACGGATTATAATGCAGCACATCAGCATCTTTTTGTTTTTTTTTTGTTCCATCTTAAAATTGAGTTGTGGAAAAATAATGTAGTTGGCCATGAAAGATCTGTGCCTGTCAGACCCTCTATGATAATGAGGTGATGTGTAATGAAATAATTAACTGTCCACACTCTAAAAATGTCTCTTCACTTCAGATGTTTGTCGGTTAGTTCGCCGCTTTGGACCAGAACGAAATATCTCAACGACTGTTGGATGGATCACCGTGAAATTTGGTTCACACATTCATGGTCCCCAGAGGATGAATCATAAGAACTTTGATGATCCCCTGACTGTTCCTCTAGCGTTACCATGAGGTTGACATGTTTGCTTTTCAGTGAAATATCTTAACGGCTATTGGATGAGCTGCCAGGTTCTACAAAAAAGTACATTTGTACAAAACTTATTTGTCTTTGTTGACCCGCTTACCTCAAATTTATTTCAGTCAATGTTCTTCTCCATTTACAAAGTCAACACAGCATTTCAGAATGGATCTCCTCATTATTATTTTTTTTCTCGCTTTATGCACTTACAATGTCCCGGTGAATCCGTCCCGACATATGCACTCTCCTGTTGCTTTATCGCAGGAGCCCCCAGTGCCACACTTGCACCTCTGCAGACAGCCCTTCCCGAAGGTGCCTGCTGGACACGACTCCTCGCAGTAGCGTCCTATGAACCCTGGAAGACACTGACACGCCCCCTTCACAGGATCGCAGAGAGCTCCGTTCTCACACTTGCACTGCTGATTGCAGCTCGAGTCCCAGTGTTTGTCATCACAGGCTGAAAAGTAAGAGGACAACTGTTATTGATTGTGAAGAACATTGTCCCAGACTATGCTGTTCAGCCAAGATACTGAAGCACAAGCCCTGATTCTTTTGTTTATTTGTAGAAAAGATGAATTGGGATTTTAGATTTGCTTTGTGTTTGTCTTAAGCTCCAAATTAGATATAGTACATGATTCTGTTTCCTGGATTTTAAAACGTATTTATCCAGAAGAAAGTTTTTTCAGCACCACCCTTCACTTTTACACCAGGGAGGTTCTCACTTTTATTGCCCACATTTTCCAGGGATTCAGACCAGTCTTCTTCCAGTAATATGCCTGCTTCTCCAAACACTGAGTCAAATCTACTCTGCCATGCTGGAACTTAAGTGAAAACACCAAGGCAAAATAACATTACACATGATTGTTGTAACTTGCATTTGGGGCAAGTCTGATTGTTTTGTGTCAGTTTTGTTTCTCCTAATTCACTTTTCCTCCCATAAACCTAAAACTTACAGGCGTATATGATGTCATGAAAAACAAACAGAAACAAATGTGATTAAATTTAATGTGTTCAGCAGCAAAAAGACAAACAACAGAACAGGAACAAGAGAGGAAGAGTGGGAGTGGAGGGTGGGGGCATACTGTCTCTTCCACACATTACTGTGAATCTCCCCCATGCTTCCACATCCAAATCTGGCCCTTTAGCTCAGGAGTGTTAAGTTACCAACAAATAATTTTGAATCGGCAGGGAGATTTGCATGGAGCTCACAAGACGGACAAGTTTTAAATGGTTAATTTTACAGAAGCCTAAAGATCGGCTCTGGGGGGGGTGGGTTAGCATGCAGTGGAGATTCACACACGGTTTGGATTTCAATCCATGATGAAGAGATCTCAGTCCACTGAGAAAACCCACATTGGTCATGGGCGCATTCCTCAAATTTCTCATCAATAACTTCGACTGTCTTGGACATCGGACATCATTGAGAAAATGTGATATCCAATAACACTGACGTAACAGATGGATGGGCCTCAGTTATCTCTCCTCAAGCTAAAAACCACGCCAGCAATTTCATGCTGACCTCTGTGAATCATCTTTCTTTTTTTTCTTCAGACATTCGTGCACAAAATCAAGCTACACATCAGATGTGTCCATGTTCCCCCCACCTCTGCCTGTGCTGCACATGTGCCCTGCCGCAGCTTAGAAAAGTACAAGGACTGCTTTGACAATAATTGCACAGAGGGAAAAGTAGAGCCAAATTTGGCTTGGAGCTAACCGTGCTGCCACGGACTGTAGTGTTTATAGCACTAACTCGGAGCAGGACCCTTGCCTCTTTTGTTTAAATGAATCATAACCTCACCGGTTCTCCTAGTGGGCATTGGAGAGGGGTTCTGCCGGAGTGTGTCACATTGAGTAATGAGAAACTCAGCTGGAGCAGCGATTATGTTTACACAGATATTCTCCAGGACAGCAGGGGAGGTTTACTGAAGGGTCTGCAGGGCAGTCAGCGCAGGCACCGAGGGCTGATACGTCCACACAGCAGAGCACTGAATGGGTGAAATTTACCACACTGGACGTGTGATTTTTTATTTTTTATTTTGGTCCAACCAGCTGGTAGAGTCTGAGCCCTCCACTGACCAGTATCAAAACGCTTCCCATCTGTTTGTTCATCTGCATGGAAACATACAGTACATCACCAAGTGCAAGTCTTTCTCTGACAGTGTTGCTGAGTTTGTTTACCTTCATCAAATACACTCACTTTAGCCCGAGTGTGTCCAGCTTCGACTTAATCCCTTTAGAGAATTTTGCTCTGTTTGCACCTGTATATGACAGTGATTTACAGCATTTTGATTTATCACAACAAAGTATCCAGACTGTTTAAACTGTAAGATTGCATCCTATTTTATAAACTGATCATATGTTTGTGTATAAAATCTTTATCTTAAGAGTAACTAATAAGGTGTAGAAAAAAAGTCGATCTGTGTCTGTTACCGTGGCTCCCAGGCTTGATTTTAGCTTTTAACTTGAACTCCATGACGGCGCTCAGTGGATGTTAACATCTTTCATTTTCTGTCCTTGTGATTTTTCTTTTCTTTCATTGTTTCCTGAAATATTGTCGAGGTTTGCACTTCCAGGTCCACAATATTACATCAATAATATAACAATATAATCTCAGTTAGCATCAGATAAGTAACCATGCCACATAACAGCAGATGCAGCGGTTTTCATTTTTTGTAAACTGATAACCCAAATATTATGGCGCGTGTGAGAAGTCATGTTTTGATAATCCTAAATTATGATATTGTTGGGATACTGAGACAAATTCAAAATCTGGTGTAATGTTATTTGTCTTTCCATTATATTAATATTATTCACGATATTCCCTTCAACCTTAAATAAACTGGCAACTCGGTGTATAATTTGCTCCCAGGCTTCCTGCAAAAGAGATCTTGATCTCAATGAGACTTCCTGAATAAATCAAGGCCAACTTAAGTTCATTTCTGTGATGAAGATTCAAACTGAGTATCATTAATATGACCTCTACTCACACACGACCAGTGCTCATAAACCTGTTGATTGACATGCACTTCAGATCTGGCATCTCCTCAGTGCCCTTTATAAGGAATGCACACTGATATGGTGGGAAAATTCTTCCTTTTCCCCTGTGCATTGTCCAAGCAGTGGTTTGGGTTTTGCTTGTGTCCAAAGTTCACATAATCTCCTGGAAATCTAACAAGCAGCCCTCGCTGCTCGTTTTTGATTCCAGCTCAAAATCTGCTCCGAAACAGGGCTTAAATAAAGCAAATGCTGCTCTGACGTGACATTTCTAGCTCCCAATAAGCCACATTCTTGTCTTTCTATCACCTCACTCACTGTAATTACTTATATTCTCCCATTTTCCACTCTCTCTTGTATCCACTCGGCACCTCCTCTCTTTTTGTCACCTTCTTCAACACTTCTCCCTCCTCGTCTATTCTCCAAATCTATGGGCAAACAGTCCTAAGAGTGTTCAGTATGAAAACCTCAGGCCCCTCTCCTCTTTCCCACAGTTAGATAGCTCAACACACAGGCATCCAGGAAGTGTCAGGTCTTATTCTGCCAAAAACGACTCCATTATAGGACGATGCAGCAGAGCCAAGGCAGAAAAGAGCAGAGTGAACGAGTGAAAACAAAGAAAGAAAATTTACGTCAGTGAGGGGTAGGGTAGAGAGGGAGTGTAAGGAGAGACGGCGCAAACTGGGCCACGCAAGACAGAGAGTGGGGTAACATTTTCCATTTCCCCTTCCCATCATCCCCCTGTCAAGACATCAACCGCTGCCCGTTAAAGCTAATTCCCGCTCTCTGCAGTGGAATAGAGGGGAAATGGAGGAGGGCTGTGTACTATTGACCCAGCTGAGTGCGATGAAACGGGCTGAAGGTGGTGGAAAACTTCATTTCAGTGAGGGTAACAGCAGCCCCATGAAATGTGGTCCTGGTTTCACACTCCACCATCTAATTCATGGAGATTTCAGAAAAGACAAACAGGGTTAGACTCACTGTTCTGAGTTGGCGCCTTGAACAGCTCTTATATAACTATTTCTGCTGATTTCACTTCTGTAAAAGAAGTTGTAACGAGTAGAAAGAGAACATATAATGTCTGTCTTAAATCTTTTTTATGGACTATGGCTCCTTTCAGTATATCATACAGTATTTAACTCATAAATTATTGCTTTCATACTATTTTTTAACATCTTTGTTGGAGGAACAAGTCTCAGCTTTATTAGACACGATTGTTTTATTCCTTTATTTCCTCCTCAGCTTTATTAAGAAAAGCTGTTGTGAAATTTTGACTATAATCCTTAATACTTCTGAATAGTAACTGTGAGTGAGAGGTGGAGGTGCAGCTCAGTGTCCTTCTGGACTAGTAAACTGGTTCCTGGACTGAGGCTGACAATAATGACTCACTGCTGTGCATGCGGTAATGCTCCCTTGCTGTTTCCATTGGAAAGGCCTCCGGTGTGTGATGGAATGGTGTATGTGAAGATCAGCCACTTGAGCAATGGCCAGTTGTCATTTCCTGTTGTGTATGTGAACTGTTTTTGTGTGTGCACCTGAAGAGAGAAAGTGATGGAAAGGGAAAAAAAAAAAAAAAAAAAAGCAAAGGAGAGAGAGTGAGGAAATGTCTGAACGAGGGGAAAAGGCTGATTCATACCGCTGGAACAGTCGTCTCCTCGCCAGCCTCCCTCGCACTGGCAGTGGTCTGGAGCCACACATCGGCCGTGGACACACTCCTTGGTGCAGCGAGCTGTTGATGAGAAATACATTTTAATTTTATTTTTTACCAGGCGTAGCTTTGCAGGGAACGTTCATCCTGCACATATAATGTTTAAAACGCAGTTGATAAGGTGTGCAGTGATCTGAAGCTCAGATACCCGTCACATCGGGCTCCAGATGTTCATTCAAACTGAACTGGATGTTGTTTAACATTAATAACTGTATAAATGTGATGCAGTGATCCTGGAACTGTCTGTGTTCAGGCTTTCTGTAACAGGAATGCTTTAAGCTCTGATATCTGTGCTCATATGTTCACTAGTTTTCACACACCCTCAACAGCAGCACTGGTGTTCAGCTGCCGCAGGTTGGCGGGAGATGAGTCCTGCTCAACTGATCCTGTAGCTGCTAGTTTAGTGATTATTGTGATGATAAAATAAACTAAAAATCAGCCTCACAGCAGTTTACAATCCTCCAAACCAAATCTAATACTTTCTGTTCTTTCTGATTAATTAAACTCCACAGTGTTTCCACATACACACTGACAAGTGGAATGACTGGTAGGGCGTAGTGTCACACATGTACAGTTTATCAGACCAGAAAGAATGTCGATATCACTTTGACCTTTGGCTGAGCTTCTCTTTTCTCCTTTTCTGCAAGATAAATCACCCACTGTCAAACCAGTTTATCCGCTTGGTTTCACAACTTTTTCACCATTTTCCTGTCAAATTATTTGGAAGTCACTTTGCTCATATTTGCTTTTTGTAACATCTCCAAACTGCTAACTATGTGTGTCCTGTTTGTGCTCTTTGAAATTTGAAGCACACTTCATAAGAAAAAGCTGCTCAAGAAATGCTTCTTCTTCTTCTAATTAGTATTATTACCAAAGACTGTGTGCCTGTTAAATCTATTTCAAAAGTGCACTTTTTTTTATTCGATCAACAATCCATTCAGCTGAATTGCATTCTTTCCCTCTAAATTTATTCCACCCATCATAAACAGTTATGAGCTGCCAGCCCGACAGCTGGGGCCCAACCAAGCAATCGAAAGCCCCAGTGCTGAATGCCATTCATACTGTCAGTGAGCTTTGAGTTGTGTGCATGCCAGCGTTATAAATGGTGCTGCCATTAAGTTCATTCAAACATGCATTTATGAGTGAAAACTGATAATCTGCCAGAGAGCTTTTCATTTTTTGTTACACTAGACAAGTGTTTTGAAACCATTGGGCACTGAGAACCACACGCTGTATACACACACACACACACACACACACACACACACACGTTTGTTTTCTTCAAACACACCAAATAATCGTTTCACTCTTTATTCTTTCTCTAGATGAAAGTGTGTGGACACTGGAGGATGGAGATTCGGGGGATCTAAGAAAAGGCTAACGTCATAAAATGAAAGAGGTAAGTGTAATTATAGCTAATTATATGTATTTACTAAAAAAAACAAACAAAAAAAAACAGTGATCATGAGGCTTCATCCTGGCTTTTCTGATGCGAGTCAGTAAAATCAGAAGCTTTGTGTTTGGCTACAAAAGACCTACACACACGGTATTTGGGATTTCTTGAGACTGCTGTGAAACGTAGCTCAACAATAAGCAACCAAAGCTTTTTTGGTTGCTTATTGTTGAGTATATTATCTCTGCTGAGTGAACGTCAGCTTTCAAGGGACTACAAACAAAAAACCTTGTTTTGTTATTACCATCCTCATTTCTCAGATCAACCAGTGATGTATGAGAGGGTTCGTAAAGCTAAGGTAGAACTGTGTCCACCCACGCGAGGCCGTGTATGGTTTCGCTTTATTTATGTGCCACTAGAGCGATGACAGTGTGTCAGCAAACTCTTGACAGCTGCATCCATTTGTCATTTTCAGATTATAACAACGTTCAACTAACTATCTGCTACTTATGTTAACCGCTGCAGCTACGTGTGTTGTCATGTAAAACTGCTCTGAATGGTATTTTAAGCACATGAAAGTACTAAGGCTTAGATTTATTGTTAGATAAATAAATGGTTTATTTGGGAGATATCATGGTAACTGAGACATGAATCAATTTAAAAAAAAAATCAAATCCAAACTAAACCAAAATGAAATAAATATCCACGTCACGAATTTCATGAATAACATGTCACCTTACTCCATAAATAACTTGACATTTACAGTGAAGCGTTTTACATACGCGTCCCGTCCCTGGTGTTAAAGCGGAGCTGAGTGTAGACCCCAGTTATCTGACAGTATTCATGAACATGCTCACTAATGATATTGTTGGTGTGACAAGAGTTTGCTGTGCAGGCAGCAGTGATCCAGCGATAACAGATGCTTTGCTGATGGAAAAAAAAGTCGCTGAAATGATGTGAAATCCTTGAACTGAAATGAAAATATTAAAATGACCAAGATGGGAGCATCGGGGATGTTTTCAAGACGGCAACACACAGTTTAAAGTTGAAAATTCCAGCTAGTGCTGCCAGTACATACTGTGCATTTTCAGCATGAGAAGCCCCTGTGGGAATTAAACCCATAATTTTGGTAATTCCAGTGTCATATGCTCCTTATTGACGAAGCACATAAGGTGGAAAAAAGGGGAAAAAACACAGGCTTGCTGTGAGTAATGAGTGAGTTAGTCTGTGTGTACAAAATGTCACATTGTTTCATTTGCAAATCACAACGTTAGCAACCATTTTAGCGTTGTACTTTACTGCTGATGCTCGTATTCCTGCGTCATCACGTCCCAGCGTCACGTTCCTTTGTTTTACTTGTGTCTCTCTGCACCTGTGGCTGTACTGGACAATGCCAGATAACTTGGTTTTAACATCATAATTCTAGCTGTGTGAAACAAATATAAAATATAATATGATAAAAATGTAAAATAAAAAAAGGAGACTGTGTCGAAGAACCTGGTTTTATAGTGCAGTCGATGGAAAATGATCAGATAATACAGCGGGAGAAAACATGTGGAGCGAGTTGTGATTACTTGACCTGTGAAGTTCTTTATAATAACAGTGTCTGTGAATCAATATAGTTTCTTACTTAGTGCTAGTTTATTTACTAAAGACCATAAAGATAAAAATTCTTACACTGTAGCGCAGCAGACATGAAGCTAATCTGTAACCCCAGGCTTTTAAATGTAGATTAAACAGATGAACAATTAAGTAGATAAAATAGAATCAGAATAAAAACAACAGGACAGATAAACTGCACATGTGTACATGTCTATGAATGCGTCCATTGAAATTGTAATTGCACTCATAAATGCATTTAATCAAATATTATTCAGTGCTGTTTAAGCAATTGTTTCACTTTCGTACTGAAAACTTTAAGTTAAGTTTGGTGATAATTGTGCTTAAAACTTCTGCCTCAAAACTGTGAGGAGTCCCAGCTGACCGAGGACTGAACCTTCTCCTCTACTGTTTCATCCTCAGCGTCCCTGCTGTCTTACTGTTAAAGATTGTTCAAAGGTTTCCGCAGTTACTTACGGACACACTTGTCTCTGCTCTCATAGTAGCCTGGACAGCACTGGTACCTCTTGCGATAGTCTGTCTTCACCGCCTGCCTGTAGGCCGTCTTGTAGGTGATCCTGAAAGAATAACACAGTCAAACAGGATGCTTTGACCCTCCACTGACAGGAGCAGGAAGTCAGCCCGACAGGAAATGAGTCATCACGTTGGTGCTACCTGTGGCGCATGCATCTGTAGGAGGTCCGAGGGTCCGCACAGGGCTCCTCTGTCACATGGTCGTAAGGATGAAAGTAGGACTCTTTGACTGAGGTGGTGAAGCTGAAAAGGGAGACATGAGTCAGTCAGTGATGCACAGTCACAAGAGGTAGAAACTATTTATTTATTTATTTATTATTTAAAAACTGAGACATTTTGTAGATGTTCATGGTCTCCAGAAGATGAATCCTACTTTGTGATTTCCTGACTTTCTCTCTCGTATCTCCAGCAGCTCAAAGAAAAGCAGCTGTTTCACATTTTCATGTTACCTGAAAGCCATGTAGACTCTCCATATGCTTAGAAAGGGAGTGGTGAGAGCTCTTCATCTGTTTGCTATCTGCAACCTCACTGCTAGATCCTACACACTGGTCTTTTAAGATCACAAAACTGTAACAAAATGACCTCATATGAAAGTACAATCCTAATTCCAGTAAATATCCTGCACACCTCAGGTTGGACACCAACACCAGCCACACGCCCAGTGCCTTTGAATTTTAAATTTTGGCAGACGTGAGAGTTAATGGTCTCTGACAGGTCTGATAGGCCAGATAAACAACTATTTCTACCCTGAAAGCTGGGCACTGAGGTATTTTTGTTAAAGAGAAAGTTTCCCATCTCCTATGAGCAAGTACGTACTGCAGTGCTGCTGTTTTTTCCAGAAGTTTACTCGACCATTTATGTGATAGATGAGTGCCCCGACCGACTGCTGGCCCTCTTGAATCTCGCTAAAAGTGCAGTGTATAAAAAATGTGTATCACAGCAGCAACATGTTTGTTTGTCATAGATAAACTGGCCTCACCTCTCCCACAGGCTGCACACATTCGGGTCTCTTGGGTTCAGGGAGCAGCTCAGACCAATCAGGAGGCCAAGAATCAGCAGGAGGGCGGAGCTCGGCATGATCGGCATGGTCCTGAGGGCGAAAAAAGGAAAGGCATTTACAGACGGATGTAAAACCCCAAACATCAGCAAGACAGCAACAGGGCCAAACTAGAGTTTATTGCTATTGCAAAGAGACGGACACGTACAAGCAGCGTTTGTACAATTTAATGCACTCTGGTTCTGCAAGAAATGTTCAAGATCATACTGTTTTGTTTGTCAAAGAGGGGATGTTTTAACACTGAAGTCATTTGTGAGGTTGTTCAGTTGGATTACATTATGCTGTTTCCCTCCTGTAAACGCTCACGTATATGAACTAAAAACAAAAATCCGTGCAAAAGTAATATATTTTTGGAGTTTTTTTTTTTTTTTTTACTGAGTGACAAATCTGAGCGGCCTTGAAACACAGCAATAACTTTGCAGTACTCTGCAAGGGAAACACACAGTGGAAAAAGTTGCACACACAGATGGAAAAAGTAAAAAAGAAAAAAGAAAAAAGTTTTATTCCCACTCTCAACAAGAGATTTGCATTCATTGTTTGTTTTTCATTTACTATAATTAATGTTTCACAGTGTGGCGGATAGAAAGATTCATTGACAACTGGTTCTCGGTACCTATAAATTGTGGCTAAGATTTAGCCTCTGACTGTAAAAGAGTTCATTAAACGCTCAGCAGAGGTGAGGCAAAGAGCCAGGCTTGAAGCGTAGCGCTGTCAGCTCCCCGTTGAGCTCCACACCGTCTCAACAGAGTACATAAAACACAGGCATCAGGAGGAAACCCGACAGGATGGATGGAGTAGAGTAAGAGCATAAGAAAGAAATAAAATGAAAGGTGGGGGGGATTAATCCCAACTACATCCTGACCCCTATCAATCAGTGCAGCAGTGCAGCTTCACGCTCGTCTGCTGTCCCCATCCACACTCCAGCAGCATCTGGATCCAATCAGTGCATCGGCCCAAGAGAGCGTCTCGGCGCGGGGACCCTGTTAGGCTCTCAGGGAGCAAAAGGGAGGCTTTTTTTTTTTTTCCTCTTTTTCCCCTTAAAAATATCCCATGGAAATGAACAGAAGTTCAGCAGAGCAGTGGTGTGAGCCTTCTGCTAAAAGCATCGTGGGAATGTAACGACATTTTCTAGAAAACAGGGACATCTTGTTGACATAGGATCGGTCAAGCCTGTTCTCCAGTGTTTTCTCAACAAGTCCCCTCTGACAGAATAACTGTACCACAGCTTCTCATGTCTACATGTAGCCTTGGGGAGATATCTGACATGTTGGAACAGTGACATCGCAGCCACGGATCCAGATTATCTTCTTTTGGTCAAGTGACTGTAAATGTAAAAACCATCTCAGATCTCAGAAGAAGGAGCAACAACAAAGGTCTCTCTAAACTTTGACGTCCTTAGATCTTCACGCAACAGTTTCATGAGATTTCAGACTGTGTATTTGTAGATTTGTTTGGTTGCTGTCACTTGACTAACATCACATGGGAAAAGTTAAGTTTAGGCAACTAAAACTTTACCAAAGTTCTGCAATAACAGTTAACAGGGTCAGATTTTGGTCATGGGTGAGTAACATGAACTAAACTAAATCAACAATCTAAAGCCACTGTGGTGTTTTGAGCTAAATGCTAACATCAGCATGCTTATAATACAATGTCAGTTTTTGCTAATGAGCATCGAAGCACAGCTGAATGATGGGAATTAGTTTTGCAGGAATCTGATCACAAAGCAAAGTATACAGGAGAAAATCACATTTTCAGGAAAAGGCAGGAGATCTCCAAAGTTATTACGATAAATCTTGAAGGGGACGTGAGAGCTTGTACAAAGTGCCATGCCAAACCATCCATGGCTAAAAAAAACTGATTGAAGCTGCTTTAAATTTATACTGCTATGACTTTGGTATGAAATGGGGTAAGATTTTGGTCACGGGTGAGTTAAGATAAACTAAAAAAATGATATGATTTGTAAGTTTGACCCTGGTTGTTGGCAGTAGTTTCCACTCCCTCGCTCTACTGTCAAACTGCATCCTGTTTCTCGCCCTGACTCCTTCATGTCATGTTTGTGGTGGAGAAACATTTCTTTCACTTTCAATGCACATATTTATATTTTAAGAAACTGTGGCCATTTTAGGAAAAAGGTCTTTTGGGATAAAAAAAGATTTGCCTTTGAAAAAGAAAACAAGCATGACTCTTCTGAGTTGTGTGACTGTCATCACATAAAATGGTTAGAGTTAAGTTTAGGCAACTAGACCTTTGGTAGGACTTGGGAGGATCTGAGGCAAGGTTAAGTGAGATAAGCTCAAAACTAAATTAGTAAAAACAAAAAACTATCATTTGGAAATTAGACCCTGCTTTCTGGCAGTAGAATCCATTGATTCATTTCACTGTTAAACTACTTTCTATTCCTGTCTCCTTCACGTCATCTCTTTGTGGTGGAGAAACATATCTCTCTCACTCTTCTTGCACATATTTGCATTTTAAGTCAATGTGCTTGGGAACATTTTGGGAAGTTTGCTGAGATGAGAAAAAGATTTGCTTGTGGCTTGGTGAATAATACATCACTGTAACACTGCCAAGGTCAGCAGTTCAATTCAGTGCAACTTCACGTGCTGTACGTCTTCTTTTTGGTACTTTGAAGGAAACTACACTTCAGAATGAGCATTGTTTGATGAGTTTTTAGAAGCTGCCCACTATAAACACCTCAACAATCAATCAGGATCTCATTTAACAGATTTACGTCGACATTAACTCTGTCCAGTGGCTGGTTATCGCCGCTGGAGATTTGGCATGGCGAGGACTGAGGCATAAATCAGTATAAGTGCTCGGATCTTCTGCTTCTGATAAAGTGCCTCTTACTACTCTCCTCCCCACCATCAGGAGTTAATTCACTCGCTGGCACAAACACTAACGCCTAAGAAATCTGTGCCACAAAAACAGAGCTTTATGAGAGCAGGCATATGGCTTTTATTAAGAGGAGTCACCAGCTTCACCAGCCACTTCATTGGACTGGGGGTAAATATTTTTCATTACCTTCTTTTCATTTTAATTGTGTTTCATTAGAGAAAGGCTTCAAACCACATGGGAATTCTTAAATGCTGAGAAAGAGAGCTTAATGAGTGTAGACGGAGTTGTTTTGAAGTCGAGCTCAGCTGCTGTTTGCATTGTATGTTTGCGTCACCTACAGTGGGGGGGGGGGCAGGTAGAGCCACTGGAGCTCCAGGTGGTAACATCATCATCGGTGAACTGGACTCTCCAAGGAGGCAACCCTGCTTTTTAGTGCAATAGAGAAGGACAGGTAGCCTAAAACTGGAGCTTTACATGAAACTCCACATCGACTGTTGACTGATTCTTCCCCTTTCCTCCTTCTCAGATAATAACCCTCTGCTCCGTTACATCCAGCCGTGAGCCATCATCTTTTCCTCTGAGTTTTTTCCAGCTCTGCAGCTCTGAAGCTTTTCACGAGTTTCACAAAGTAGCATGATGCATCTCAACAGCTCCTCCATTCAGGTTTGATGTGTCTAGCGAACAGGGAACTGGCAGTAATGTATGCACACTCCCACAGTTCACATCCGCCGGTCAAAGAGGTACAGTCTGGACCGAGATCAGTAAAAAACCACAATAGTAGAGGTTGCTCCAACATATTTTTGGTCGTGTTTGTAATGAAAAAAACAGACAATCTCATCCAGCTCAGTGAGACTTTCATGTGGCTTTATAAACCAATAGAAAATAGGCATAATGCCACACACACACGCACACACACAGGCGTTTGTGCCAGTGCATGAACTCATACACACACAGTTAATGTCCATATGCATGCACATACACACTCTACTCTGTAACTCTTTCATGGACTCATCTTGTGTTTTCATGTTCTGCAGTCATTACACACACACACATCAAATGAGTCCCATACGCTGAAAGAAGTTCAGAGAGAAACTATTTTTAGTGTCTGAGGACATTTTGCTAATTCACTAGGCTTCTACTGACTCATACTGTCGAGGCCCAGAGCAGCGGCCCACGCGTACACGCATCGTACTGAGGAATGCTGCGAGCTGTTTAAGAGCCCCGCAATGCTCTTTCCAGAACCGCACAGGGGCTTCAGTGAAAACAAAGCCCAAATGGAAACAGATGCACTGGTTTTATATTAATCTCGCTAGACATTCGTACCCATGTTATTACTATATTCCGTTTCAATCACGGGCCCTTCAGGACGTGTAAGTGCTGACAACTAAAAAATTATTTTCATTCAATTTCATGCAAGAGAGCCATTATCTTGACAGATGAGTATTCCCATCGGACTGCATGTTTGTATTAGTTAAACAGTCAGGACGGCGACTCTCTCCCCATGCAGAGAGATCTCGTTCTCTATAATCAAAAGCATGAAGCAACAACAACCTGTTATCTGCCTGGAGGTTACTGATTAACACATCATATCTCGATTAAAGAAAAAAACAAGGGTAAAACAACATGTTGTGGTTTTTCTCGGCGGGTTATGTGCGGAGCTTTTCCTTGGCTGGGCGCGTGTTGCCTTATACTAAACTAAACTAACCCACTGCTAAAACTATCATCTCATTTAAAGTAAACTTCAGATATTATTGTTTTTCTGCAACTAACCAGTAAATTACCTACATGACGTCCCTTATAATCTTCAACTATTTATTTGCTTGTTTGTTTGTTTTTTGCATTTGTGTCTGTTTTTATTGTGTATCATGTTTTCTTAATGTCTTATTTTTAATGTTTTTAATTAATCTATGCCTCTGTAAAGCACCTTGACCTGCCTTGGTTTGGAATGGTGATATATTAATAACCTTGCCTTGCTGGCTTGAGCATCATATTGACAGTGACATGAGAATCATATTAATCAATCAGGATATCAACAATTACAGTTATAAATCTATGAACACAAAATTAAATTACAAAATGAAACCAGTTGCAACAGCCACTTCTTGCATGAACCATGATTGAGGAGTCTGGCTATTTCAATTTTATCCAAAGCAATTTATAATTTCTTTTTCATTCAGCCACACGCACACAACAAT